CCTTTCCCTCTTTTTTTTTTTTTTTTTTTTTTTTTTTTTAAAAAAACCCCCAACCCCCATTTCTCCCCCCTCCTCCTCCCCCCCTCCCTCCCCCCCCCTCCCCCCCCCCCCCGCCCGCAAAAAAAAAAATAGGGGGGGGGCCGCCCCCGGGGAGAAGCCCCCAAAAATCCCCAAAAAAACCATTTTTAAAATTTCCATTATTATTGACGACTGCCCATTTTACAGGCATTTGCGGATTCCTCTTTCGTAGTAGGATTTTGGTTTGTGTGTGAGACAAGTGTGAGACTCAAAAATGGAGGAGATGTCCCAGTTTGAGCACTTTCTTCAAAAGAAACCCATTTTGGTGTCGCTAGAAGAGTTGTAGAGAATCAAAAACTAGGCTTATAGCCAAATTTCCAAAAAGATACACTTAGTAGTTTCGTTTAAAATGCAAGTTTTGTGAAAATTCGTAAATTTCGCATTTCATGAAAACCAGCTTTTGAATCGTTCTGAAAATTTGGATATAAGCTTGATTTTTGATTCTCTACAACTTTTCCATTGACACCAAAATGGGTTTCTTTTGAAGAAAGTGCTCAAAATGTGACATATGACAATAGCCCGCAGTTTTCAATTCACCAACCAGTAGCTTCATCAACAATTATCTAGCATAGATTTCTCTAATCAAAAATCGAGCACGATAAGGCAGGAGGCAGCTGACAGCTTTGACGATAGCCGGCAGTTTTCAATTCACCAACCCAATATTAGGATTGACAAAAAGGCAAATTTTGCAGAGATTTGAACAGGAAAATATCAAATTTATAAAGATAATTTCTAAGTAAAATTTAAAGATGAGAAATCGCTTGAAGATTCCATCAATCTTTTCGAAACTTTAGCCTTTGTTTTTGGATATAAAAATGTATAGTAATAAAAGAAAAAAGAACACCTAAACCTTTCCAATGATCCAATGAGTACTTCGAGTTTTCTTTTATAGCCAAATCCATAGATTGTGAAAACCAATCCTTTTAGGTCTTAGGCCCAGGCCATAGACCTTGAAATAGCCTTGAGGACTAGCCCTGCTCAGTCCACTAATCCCAATCAAACAACTAATGCATGCTTTTCTTTTGTTTCTCATCACTGAATAAACCCCAGGATTGTTCAGTTTGTGTTGTTTGAATGATCCGTAAAACTTTTCCACTTTTCCACTTTTCCATCACCGATTCACTTTATCCATTTGCAGGGTGTCGTTCGCAATTCGCTCATTTCGGGAGATTGGGGAAATGAGGAGAGAGAAGGCAAGAATCCTTTTGAGAGAGGACACGGTTTCGATCTCGAGATTCGCAACGAGGAATTCGCTTTTCAGGTGAGCTTGATCTAATACTTGAAAATCTCATCTTTCAAGCTTAAACATGTGTTTCTGTTTTCAGATTTTCATCAACGGTGAACGCTTCTGCTCGTACGCTCATCGTGTTGAGCCGAAAGACATCGGAGGATTGCAAATCCAGGTTGGGAAAAGAGGATTTACCCCCAAAAAAAAGACTTTAAAGCATTTTAGCAGTAAATTACCATCCCGTCTATAGGTTGATTTAAAGATTATTGGGGGTACGCTAATTTCTGTCATTTTATTTGCGCAACTCGCCATAACTTTCTTCTAAATGGGTCAATCTTTATGATTTTGATGTCATTTTGTAGAAATCAATAAGTGCAACAAAATGACACCAAAAATCATAAAGATTGGCCCACTTAGAACAAAATTATGGCGAGTTGCGCAAATATAATGCCAGAAATTAGCCTACCCCTAATAATCTTTAAGTCAACCTATAGTTGATAACTTATCCGTGAGTTGATAACTTTAAAAAAATGAAAGATTTCGTCTAAAGAGAGCTTTTCTAATAGAGAAAACTCTTCAATTGAAATAAATAAATAAATACGATGCATCAATTTATCGAAATAAAAAATCCACTATTAAACTCATCAATTTTTGAGTCAACTACAGGCAAAGAATACGGTTAAGACAAGACAAAAGACAGACAAGAGGCAAGACAAAAGTACGGTAGAAAAGAGACAAGACAAAAGACAGACAAGAGACAAGACAAAAGTACGGTAAACAAGAAAGTAAAAGAAAAATACAAAGCACAAAACTTTGACTTTTAAAAACTTGTACACTCTGTATACTGTTTGGAGTGAAAGCTAGGCTAGGCTAAGCTAAGCTAAGCTTAAGAAACGTTTTACCTCAGCTATTCTTGAATATATTGAATACTTTAAATTACTTCAGTTTACTTCAGTTTACTTCAGTAAAAGCTCTAAAATCTTTAGGGAGACATCGATGTGACCGGCATCCAAATGGTCAACCAGCAGGATTAAAAAATAAAAACAAAAAAACAAATCTCCCTAGTTAAACAAAAAAAACCCGTTCCCAATCATTTTCCTTGTCACAACTTTCCTTTTTTTTCTTTGCTTCAATTTAAATCCCTCGATTTCCTTTTTCACCTTACCCAAATCCCAGGGAATTTCATTTTCGCTAGTTTTTCTTTCGAATTATTACCGTATTTCTTTCGAATAGAAGACCGGGTAAAGAGTATGATCGCGTACTCCTGCGTAGCAGCCCTTTTTAAAATTTCTTTTCTGCATAAAACCTTTCAATCAAGTGCTATAGAGCTGGAAAATGGCTCAAAAATGGCTCAAAAATCTGTTAGCTCTTGTGGTATTTTTGAGCCATTTCCCAGCCCTATAGCACTTCATTGAAAGCTTTTATGCAGAAAATAAATTTTAGAAAGAAAAAAAAATCGGCAGCACCGGGGTTCGAACCCGGATCTTCTGCATTGTAGACCAAAGCCCTCCCGACTGCACCACAGCGTCCCTTCAAGACCGCCGATAGAAATCGATATTCTCAGCGGCTAGACAAGATTTTCGAGGAATCGGAAAATGACTCAAAAATACCACATGAGCTAACAGATTTTTGAGCCATTTTCCAGCTCTATAGCATTTCATTGAAAGCTTTTATGCAGAAAAGAAATTTTAAAAAGGGCTGCTACGCAGGAGTACACAATGATACTCTTTACCCGGTCTTCTATTCGAAGAAATACGGTATTTTGATATTTCAAATTTCACTCTTTTCCCTCCCGATCACTGCCCCCGTATGAATTAAAGAATTTCTTTTTTTTTGTGATCTTTTCCTTTTCCTTTTCTTCAATTTACATTTTATTGTGATCTTTTCTAGTTCAGAAAAAAGAATTCCCGAGAATCTTGTCAACAAAATTTATAAGTTTACCAAAAACCGTTTCTTTTTTTTGCGTGATAGCCTTTTTTTGCGCATTTTTATGAAATTTCTTTTCTTTATCCGCATAAAATCTAAAATATAAAGCTATGGCCTCAAAAAGAAATAAATAATAAATCCTTTTTTAATCCCGAATTCAATTTTTTATCACAAAACAAAGAATAATTAAAATTAGAAATAGAAGAAAATTTTGAGATTTTAAGATGAACGAAGAATTTTCGATTGATTGAGCTTCGCTTTCTGAAAAGTTTAAAGGCATTCAGATGAATATTGTTTAGTTTTGCTAGCTGAATATCTTTAATTTGCATACAAGAGAAATTTCGATTCAGATTTGTGCTGTGCAAGTGCAAGTGTGCACAATCGTAATGTAGTCAGTCTATAGGGTGGCCCATAATTATCGTGACAAGGTATTTCAAAGTAATAAGTGCTTTGTGTAGATTAATATTGGATAAATTTTAGTTATTTTAAAACTAGAGATTCTTAGCTACAAAATGATGTCTCAATGATGAAAATTGGCCCAGTATTCGTTCCGATCTGACAAGGGAATGCCAACCGGGTGTGGTGGCCAAATGACATTCGGCATGGTTCTCTGGCCGGCAGCGAGAGAATCAGTTTTGAATTATAAAGGAATCAGTTTTGAATCCTGATTTTGCATGCCAGATTCCTTGCGTTTCCGTGGCTATTAGCGGCTAATTTTTGTGGCGTTTTGTTCGTTTTGGGTGTTTTGAATTTTAGAAATCTACCCTGTAGAATTTTGCGCTGAATCTGAATCTGCTTTCCGTTTTTGCTAAATAGCACCCTGTCAAAAGTTTTAAGCGTGCAAAGGTTTGTACGGAATTTTAAAAATTATCTCTGGAGTTTATAGGCTTTATAGGTTTATAGGATTTCCCAGAGCATCTAGCGAGCAGTGGTGGCCGAGTGGTAGTCGGCTAGAATACAAGGTAAACCCTCTAGGGTTCGGGTTCACAGTTTAATTTTTTTTTTGCTCTTTTAGAGGTGATTGAACTCCATTTTAAATAAAAGTCTTTTTCAAACAACTTCCCATACAAATGTTTACTTAACTATTGACGTTGGTGCTTTAGTGAGAGGAGGAGGGGATTTTTTTTCTTTAAAACCACTTTTTCTGGGGTAGTTTTATGCGTAGATTCCGAAAAACACAACGAAAGCTTGGGAAAAGGCGTTTTAAGCCGAGTTTCGGGGCTTCAAAGTGCGCTCGGAAATCTGCCTCGAGAGATAATTTTTAAAATTCCATACCAAACTTTGCACGCTTATAACTTGCGACAAAGCGCTATTTAGCAAAAATGGAAAGCAGATCTGGAATCAGCGCAAAATTCTACGTCAGCCAGTATATGGCTCGTGTCATTTGGCCACCACACTCGGTTGGGATTTCCTTGTGAGTGAAACTTGCCACTCGAAGAGTCGAGTCGCGGGTCGTTTACCGAATTTTCTATTAAAGGATTTAAGGACACGAAACATCCATTCTCTAAAAAGTGTCAACTGAAGTCTGTCAACTGAAGGCTGTCAACTGAAGTCTGTCAACTGAAGGCTGTCAACTGAAGGCTGTCAACTGAAGTCTGTCAACTGAAGGCTGTCAACTGAAGGCTCGATATGTCTCGAGTTTTCAATCTCTCTACTTTATATCCTTCAATACCTATTGTGAATCCTGTTAAAAGAAAAATAGTGCAAGTGTACGGCAAGCAAAGAAAAATAGAATGCAAAAACAACACCCGTGCAATGACAAATTTCAAAGCTCAACCCTTTTCATTCTTTTCATTGTCTCACTTTCAATCTGATCAATCAAAACGACTCCATTTCTTGTTCCCCATTTCTCGATTTCTTTCAATCTTCCCTCGATTTTCTCCAAATCTTGACAAGCTTTCTCGTTGCTTTTTTGAGAATAGTTCCTCACCGCCGACACGAATGACTCTAAATTGTTGTTTAAGTTAGAATCTCTACAAGTACTCTTATGTTATGTAAACGCACCCTCTCTATCGCACTTGATTCCTTCTTTCTCTTACAGTAATCACGTGAACTTTATGCTTAAAATGAGGAAACTCTCTAGCCGCATCAGTAGCCATGCGTTTCCATTTGTAAAGCGGAAAATTTGTCTAACAAGGGAATGGTCTCAGCTCAAAGTTCGGAATCGACTGGAAACACAATGTATAGAATCGGCAATGGCGGACAAAACGCCACCAAAAATTAACCGCTAATAGCCAAGGAAACGCAAGGCATCTGGCGTGCAAAATCAGCGTGAAATTCTACGTCGATAAATCAATGGCTCATGTCATTTGGCCAGCCTATCCAGGCACTTCCCTTGTAAGCTTGGATCGAGATCCTTTCTCCTAAAACCCCAGGGTCTAGCTTTTCAGCTTAATCTGTCGATAAACCAACATCAAGTGGGATTCTGGTTTCATTTTCGACGTACAATAAACTAAAAGCTAAGAAAATAAAGAATCAAGTACACCAGACAGGGTGCATTTACAGTTTTTCCCCAAAAAAAAACCCCACCAAATTCACAGCTTTCCCCTTGAAAACCGGGCAAATTCGGCGTCAAATCGACGAGGAAATCGGTGTGATCTCGTCGGAAAAATGCCTATAAAATAATATAATATAGATATTATCTTAAAGTTTCAACCGACTTTTAAAAAGTAATCCTTTCCATTTGCATAAAGCTCAACGAATATCCCACTCGTGTACAATGGAGCATCATCGCCAACAGCCGCCTTTGTCGATCGTAAAATCTCGAGAAACGGGAAAATTTGGAGATCTTGCTGAAAATCTTTAGTTATAATTGAATATTTTTAGATTATATTTTATTCTTTAGAGATACAAAAACATTGCTCAAAGAACTCACCGATGAATAGCCGTTGAAAACGATCGAATCACACGTTTTTCCCTGTCGACATGCGATTTTTGAGCGCATTTTTGTGATAATGTCTAAATTGATTGATTGATTAAAACCAATTGATTAAAACCAATTGATTAAATCAATTGATTAAAACCAATTGATTAAAACCAATTGATTAAAACCAATTGATTAAAACTCTAATATATACAGGGTGCGTCATAATTATTGCAACAAGAGTTCAAAGACGTTCAAAGTTTTAAAGAAGAATGTGATGTCATGGGCGTGCAAAGCCAATAACAATCAAAATTGGACCTTCATGCAAGATGGAGCTCCCGCTCACACGAAGAAGACGGTTCAGGACTGGTGTGTGACCAACTTTCCCTCAGTGATCACCAAGGATGAATGGCCTCCAAACTCACCGGATCTCAATGTGATGGACTTTTCCATTTGGGCAATCTTAGAGGCTAATGTCTGCTCTTTGACCTTGAAGAACTCTTTGACCAAAGGATGGAAGGCGACTCCTCAAGATGACATTCGGGCCGCAGTGGAGGCATATCCGAACCGATTAAGGGCTGTTATCAAGGCAAAAGGCGGTCATATCGAATGATCTCTTGTTTCCTTATTTGTTACTGTTAAATAAAGCTATTTCTGTTTAAAAATCTTCTTCCAGTGAAACTTCTTGGTGTGCAATGCCTTGAGTATCTTGTTGCAATAATTATGACGCACCCTGTACGTCGTAGCCGATTATGAATGAGTGGGTCTAGGAGCGTCCAACCATTAAGTATTTGGTATCATTCAACGCAGAATCATTCATAATTATGCTAAATTTTTTAAATTAGAAAGATTGGATAAAAAGAAAAAAATTATGGGGCTTCAAAGTTTTTTCTTGAACAAACAGTTTTTTGCTCCAATTTTTTTTTCTTTTGATCTAATCTTTCTAATTTAAAAAATTTAACATAATTATGAATGATTCTGCGTTGAATGATACCAAATACTTGATGGTTGGACGCTCCTAGACCCACTCATTCATAATCGGCTGAAATTCATAATCGGCTACGGGGGTCCCGCCGATTTTGAATGAAACGTCGCACAACGAGTACAAAATTTTTTGTCTTCAAATCAAAAATCTAAGCACTAACAATTCTTAAATGATGTCCAACTAAGAGAAAAAATGCAAAAAGAATCGATTTCGACTTGTCAATTCTTTGCTGATAGGTCGAGAAATTTGCTGGCCACGGAGTTTACCAACTTTGATACGCCATATCTACAGATGTACTCGACAGAACCCATAAGTGTTATATATTCTGAAAGCTCAGGTTTAGCTCTACAAGATGGTATCAGTTTTTCTATGTTTTCTATTTTATTCAGGGTTTTTGCCCTTCTGAACACCAAAGTTGAAACCTAGAAATTTTCAAAGTCACTTTTGCATCGCGATATCGTCGTCAAATCGTGCTGAAAGTGTGTTTTTTGGAATCTACGCAAAAAATTGGCCCAGGAGAGTAGAATTTGAACAATCGCAACTGGGATATCTTAGGAGAGTTGATTAGGTCAAAAGACAAAATTTCTCGACCTATCAACAAAAAATTGACAAGTCGAAATCGATTCTTTTTGCATTTTTTTCTCTTAGTTGGACATCATTTAAGAATTGTTAGTGCTTAGATTTTTGATTTCAAGACAAATGGTTTTTTTCCAACTACGTACTCGTTGTGCGTCGTAGCGCCGGCAATTTTTAACCTAAACTCACAAATTTGGTACCAATCGACGCAGAATTGAACTCGCTACAGGATCATATAATATTGCCCTCATACATTAAAGGGTTGCTCTACTATTGGGTTGGTGGAAAAGTCCTTTCGGATTTTTTGGGAGAGTACCTTAAATTTGTCGAATTTTGACGTTTTATAGCTCATCCTAAAGCTGAATTCAAGACGGATCGTTTGGTAAAAACCGTTTTGAGATATCTCTTTTCTAAAAGTTTTTACAGCTATTTTAGTAAAGGGCGGCAGAGCCAAAAAAAAAATGGCTGTTTTCACGTTTCGTTGGTTTTGGACACGTCAAAATTGGACAAATTTAAGGTACTCTCCCAAAAAAACCGAAAGGACTTTTCCACCAACCCAATAGAAAGATTTGCCAAAAAAATTTTTCATATTTACGTCTACGACATATACAAAAATTCTTCAACTATTTGTGAACTCAATTTGAAAATCAATCCGTCCGACTAAAAAACTTTCTCCGACTTTCTCAAAAAAATTTCATTGAATTCAGAAAATTCAAGTATTATTTTACGTTGGGAAACTCGTTTTCATAACAAAATTTAAATTAAAACCAATTTTTAAAAAAATTCTGATCTCTTCGGAGATCTTTGATCGCAAATACCTCTGAGGAAAATGCGAAAAAACTTTTGCACATGACTGTAAAAATAGTTGAATTTTCTGAATCCAATATTATTTTTAATAAATATTAATTGAATCACTAGTTCAAGGCATTCAAAAGAAAGTTCAAGAACTTATGATTATGATTTTTACCATTTAAAAGCTCTCCAGAATATACTCGGAGAATATCCGGCTCGTGATAGAGGTCAATACCGAGAGTGATTCGTTGTACTTTTCTGAAATATGTGTTCTATGAGATCTATGCCGTAATTTCTAGATCTGTTATAAAATAAAATTCCACCTGTACATAGACCGGGCCTCCTCCACATGTGCATCGGTGATATTTGTGCCGATGAAGAGGTAGTTATTCAGCGCCTGAAGCGATTTACGATTTTCGTTTTGGGTTTTCCCGAGCTTCAGGACACTGGTGTGCGGAAATGTTCTTCTGTTTTTTGTTTCTTTCTGTTTCTGTTTCTTTCTGTTTCTGTTTCTTTCTGTTTCTGTTTTTTTTTTCTTGTCACTTTCAGACAGCCAACATTCACCGCTTTTAGATTTGAATTTCTTTATTTTATGTCTATGATGTCTTTTTCTCGCAGCTAGCAAAGATTTTCGGAGAGATAAGCAGTTTATAACGATTTACTTTCTTTATAACTTTATAACGGTGCGCAAGTGGTTCAGTGCTGGCCTGCCAAGCGGACGAACTGGATTCGATTCCCAGTTCGATTTGGTTTAGTTTGGTTTTTTCTTGAACACCACGTTCATGGTGGACAGGCGTTTACTTGCCGAAATACAATTTATGGATGTATTATTGAAAACTTTAGCACAAGAATCAATTAGAACAAATCATTTGCTTTCTTTCAAACCTCGTTCAACACACTCTCCATAAGCCGAAAGCTCAGTTTGTCGGAGCCAAAATATTTCACTTGTTTATCCAATCCCAAACACCGCCATAAATCATATTCGTAACTATCGAAATTCTAGATTTTTCTTATAAAATTCATCAATAAGTTGAAAAACTTTTGCATAATCACTCGGAAATCTCACGTAGCCGGCACATTTTGCTTCTTGCAGTGCGTGCACCACCGGACAATCCATCAATGAGGGTTTTAACATGTAAAAAGTGATAGTTAAACAATTTTTTTTAATAAAAATTATATAAATAAAGCTTTCTTAACACAAACCCAATCAATTGGGTAAACTTCGAGCTCAAAATTTTCATTGGGAAAGAGGGCGCTGAACGCCTCTTTGGCTGTGCGCTGCGTTCGCACATGACTCGTCGATCGGACGTGGATCTGAGAAATGAAAAATTTTTGAATATAGATTGCTTACCGTAAATACTGTAAAAGTACCCCACCCCCATAATGACGGTGCGGAGTGTTGCGTAGTCTAGCTTTGAACGAGTTTTTCTCGACACTGGTTTAAGCTAGAATGCTCGCTTGTGTATCAAAAAATCGCTGAGATTCAGGGCTATTTTTTGATACCAAAGACGCTATTTTTGATACCAAAGATAATGACGGTGCGGAGTGTTGCGTAGTCTAGCTTTGGACGCGCTTTTCTCGAGACTGGTTTATGCTAGAATCCTCGCTTAGGTATCAAAAAATAGCCCTGAATTTCAGCTATTTTTTGATACCAAAGACGCTATTTTTGTAAGTACGGGCACTTTGAAAAAAATGAAATACTAAAAAACTTTTGCGACTACGCGACTGTACGAGGGGGATGGGGTACTATTACAGTATTTACGGTAGTTTAAACGGATTACATAGCAATTAGTTATAGCATTCGTTTTAAATTTCAATTCTTCTTTCTTGTTTAACTCACTTGTTCGGGTGATGAGATGAAACCGTTCTCCACGTAGCGCTTTCGCCAAAATTCACCCATTTTATGCGCATGGCGGATCCCTTGCTGAATTTTTAAAAAAAATAAAGCTATAAATTCTAATTCTAATTCTTTTCCCTAATTGGTGTTTCATAAAAAAAAGCGTCCAAGAAAAGCTAGCTTTAAAGATTTCATTCCACAAAGCTTTCCTTTCGTTGAGCTTATCGACTCCCAAACACAGCTAGTCAAAATGGCAAAGAGTGATCGTTTAAAAAGTTTCTTTGGCTTCACATCTATTGTACATTAACAATTATAAAATCTCCTTTGGTGTCTACAGAAAAAAAAAAAAAGATAGAGCACATTCAATTATATAAGTTGCCAAATTTTCACGAAGATCCCTTCAATCGTTTTCTCTAAATCATAGTTTATAGTCTTTTGTTTTACCTTTTGTGCTTTGTTGAGCTGAAGCGCTTTTTGAGCTCACTTTAAATGCACTTTAAAGGTACTTTAAATGCACTTTAATTCTCTACAAAATGGCACTTTTAAATGCGATTTTGTAGAGAATTAGTGAACCTTGCTACTGATATCAAACGCGTATTATTTGAAGTTTCAAAAATCGTATCAAACTACTAGAAGTTTTAGATAATTTCTTTGATTTTTGGCGTTTTTTCATTCTCCCCAACCTAATACATTATGATTTAAGTGTGGGAGGGATTTGTATGACTAAAATTAAACACAACTAAACTTGAAAAGTCCCATTCTTATCCTCAAAAATACTAGCATTTCCCGGATTAAAAAAGTAAACTTTTAATATGCAAACTTATGTTAAAAATGCGATTTTCGTGATCAGCGCTCTCGATTACCCTAGAAAAAAATTGTACGAACTTTATTAGTACCAGAAAATGGAGCGTTTAATGATTAAAAATGTTACGAGACAAACATCAGTGAGATTTCCGAGTCCATTCTTGAATAGAGAATGTGCAGCAGCTTCAGGCGATGAGAAAAGGCGCACCGGTGCCCGATCACCGTGTCTCCAAATCTGAAATTAATAAAAAGTTTCATTGAAAAGATTAAGTTTATCTAATCTACATTACTAAAATAGCTTCTTTCTTTAAAAAAAAAACTTACACTAAACACGTGAATCAATTGGAAACTCGCGACAATACCGGGGAAATAGACAAAGAAGAGTACGAGAAATGCTCGGAAAGGCGTCATTTTCATCATTGCCTTAAATTTTCCAACATAGTTTCGTTTTTTTTGACTTCAAAACTATTGAAATATTCACCAAATGGCAGACATTTCGATGAATTTGTATTCGGAATCGAATTCGTCGTCTAAAAATCGTCTAAAAAAACTATATTTCTGAAAATAGAGTGCAAAATCTATTTTTTTAGAAAACTATCGTAATCAGCTGACAGTTTACATTTGATTAGCCCAATTTAGTTTGATTTTAGTCTCATTGATTGAGCCTTTTGATTTCTCATCGAATAATACCAAAATTTTGCTGATTTATTGGGTTGGTGAATTGAAAACTGCCGGCTATTGTCATATGTGACATTTTGAGCACTTTCTTCAAAAGAAACCCATTTTGGTGTCAATCGAAAAGTTGTAGAGAATCAGAAATCAAGCTTATATCCAAATTTTCAGAACGATTCAAAAACTGGTTTTCAAGAAATGCCAAATTTACGAATTTTCACAAAACTTGCATTTTAAGCGAAACTACTAAGTGTATCTTCTTGGAAATTTCGCTATAAGCCTAATTTTTGATTCTCTACAACTTTTCTAGTGACACCAAAATGGGTTTCTTTCGAAGAAAGTGCTCAAACTGGGACATCTCCTCCATTTTTGAGTCTCACACTTGTCTCACACACAAACCAAAATCCTACTACGAAAGAGGAATCCGCAAATGCCTGTAAAATGGGCAGAAGTCGTCAATAATAATGGAAATTCTTATAAATAGCCTTCTTTGGGAACTTTTGGCGCATTCCCCATACAGTCCGGACCTCGCCCCTTCTAATTACTATTTATTCCGGACCATGAGCTTGCGGGAGAACACTTCGGAAGAAGAAGCAGATTCGAAAGAAGCAGTCAAAAATTGGCTTTGAAAGTTTTTCGATTCAAAACCAAAATCCTACTACGAAAGGGGAATCCGCAAATGCCTGGCAGAAGTCGTCAATAATAATGGAAATTATTTCGAATAAATTTATGGTTTTATGTTGAATCAATTTTAGTTCAAAGTCCCGCAGTTTTCAATTCACGAACCGAATAGATGGAAACTGGCAGTTTGACGACGATAATCTTCTAAAATAAGTGCAACAAATAATTAAGAGAAGCACATTTATAATTGAATAGGATTTTAAAATATAAGAAAATTTTAGAACAATAAGTTTGCAGACTATGAAGAAAAAAGAATTGAACACACCCTTTGACGTAAAAATGCGCCCCCTTTCCCCCAAAAAAAAATTACTCATAACATAAACAATCTGAAAAAAGAAAATTCTTAGCTCTGTTTTCGTTCCGCTTTGAAAATATTGAAATGAAACCGAAAAAAATCAATGATGCCACTGTGTGATATCAGAAAAATGCAAAAAAAATGGTCGCGGTTGAGGGTCAAACTGATAGAGAAGAATGGGGAAAAGAGAAAACAAAAGATTTTCCATCATTTTCCAATGATTTCACAATAACGGATGATAAAATTGTTTAGAAAATGAGAAAAGAAATGGTGAATGAACGTGTTCGAGTAAGACTTTTCCCTAAAACATGTCAACTTTTCGAAACTATAGTAATCTTGCCAATGATCTTGTTAGTAATCTTGCCAGTATCTTGCCAGTAATCTAGCCAGTATCTTGCCAGTGATCTTGCCAGTATCTTGCCAGTAATCTTGCCAGTAATCTTGCCAGTAATCTTGCCAGTATCTTGCCAGTCCAAATTACAATCATCTTGAGAGCTTGACAAAGTCGATTGATTGGGAGTATTGTGTGAGTAATCCGAGTTCTAATTAGTACACGGTGCACCAGAATTGTCGAAATAAGATACATTTCTGATTTTAAGGCAGACAAGAGCAGACAGCAAAAAAGACAAATTTTTAACTGAATAACATTTATTGTACATTAATAATTATAAATGAACTATGAAATTCGAATCGGCCACTATTAGCATTTGAGCAGGCTCCCACGTGTTTCGGGAAGACGTCAACGGTGGCAACCAAATAGGCTGGAGCTCCAGCTCTTCCCACGCTTTCAACAGTGATTTTCTTCAAGCTTATGATGTTTTTGTGAGGTTTTGAATAAGCTTTGGCTTCTAGAACTGGCCACACTCAAAAATCCGTTGGGTTGAGGGTCTGGAGAGCTAGGTGGTCACTCAAAAAAAGAAATGAACTCCGGGAAGTTGTTTTGACAGAACTCTTGGACTTTCTTGGATTTTTGGGCCGGTACGCCATCTTGCTGATAAGTCCAAATGCGTTTTTAAAATGTTTACGAGCAAGAGTTCATCCTTTTTTCAGGTTTAGGAGTTCAGGTTTATTGTACCATAAATGTACAATAAATGTTCAGGAGTTCAGATCGTTATTACGCGCGTGAAACCTTGTTACGACAATCATGGCGCACCCTGTAGACTCAATAGAATGAATAGCTCCAATCGATTCGCCGACCCCGAAAACCTCCGGGTACAAATTCACAGCTGAATATTTTTTTAAACCATCCACAATGTCAAAGAAAAATCCCTATGTAAATGACTGACGAGGCGTTCTTTGTGCGGCGTAATCACTCGCTTTCTGGCAAAGCGCTTCGGTATAAGGTGGTTCCCTTTTGGAAACCGTAAAGGGAAAGCAGCGGTGTGCGACTGAGCCGCTTTCATGCGTTTGGATTTCACTATGTCCAAAGCCCTTTGGGATCAATTTTTTTGCCCCAAACTTGTCTGCTTTTTCTACAAATTCCAGCCAAGGTCAGCCAGAGATTGCTTCTCGGATAATAAATGTCGGTTTTGACATGAAATTTTGCTAAAGAAATCCAGTCACCGCCTGATTGTGAGCTAGGATTTGGTTCCTTCTTTCTAAAGTTTTCATGCCGGAATACCTGTAATAGAACGGGTCGTTTTCTACAAACTTTGAGCACTCATTCTGCCTCATTCTCAGCCCTCATTTAACTAAAGTAAATCGGTCAAAAATTTCCCTTTTATTCCTGAACCGTTCTTTTTTCACAAGCATTTTTCAGTTCTTTCTTGTTTTTTCAGCTCAAATTCTAACTATAAAAGTAAAGGGTTCTTCTGAACTATGAAATTCGAATCGGCCACTATTAGCATTTGAGCAGGCTCGCACGTGTTTCGGGAAGACGTCAACGCTGGCGACCAAATAGGCTGGAGCTCTAGCTCTTCCCACGCTTTCAACAGTGATTTTTTTCTGTTGTTTTATTTATTTTAAAATTATTTTAACCTCCTTTGACAAAATACTAAATACTTTTCACTGTGGAAAGCTATCATATGCAAAACCCAAAGCCAATTCGATTCTCTTGGGACTTTTCTTGGGATAAAGGCTTAAAATAAACTCCGCCAATAGGTTCTACGACCCTGAAAATCCCGGGGCACCAATTTTTAATGTTAAATCTCATTTGGGAATCATTTACGAAACAAAAAATAAATCACCGTGCAAAGTGACGGGCAAGGTTTTCTTTGTGCGGCCTCGTAATCGCTCGCTTTCTGGCAAACTGCTTGATGCGTTGGTTTTTGAGAAATTACTGAGCAAACTTTTTCTACGAACTTTCTTACTAACCTAATAGAATCTGACTTTGGTGAAATTTTGGTGATCGAGTTCTGATAAAACGATTTTTGGATTGTCAGATTGTGAAATTTAGTAAACAGTAATCTAGAAGCTAGAATAATCTAAATCTGGAAAGAATTGATGGCTTGGTTTTTTGAGAAGTCACTGTGCAAACTTTTTCTACGAACTTTCTTTCCAACCTAATATAATCACAATTTTCTCATTTTCATAACATTTTTGTACAGAAACACAAATAGATTCACCTAATAAAATCAAATAAAATCAAATCAAATAAATCAAATTTTATAGACATTTTTCTCCTTTTTCTAAATTGCAATTCTTCAATTTACGTTCCTTTTCTGATAAGCAAGCTTCTTCTCGAGAAGTTGAAGAGAAAGGTTTCAGATTCGTCACGAAATCATCTAAAAGATTTTGAAATTAATGTTTTAAAGCCATTTGAAATCTAGTGTCAAAAGCTAAAGACATTAACACACTACTGGACAATGAAATATGATATTTGAAAAACGATCGTCACTTTCGCGCGTCTGTAACTCCCTTGTCTTTGAGTTTAAACTATTAGTGTTATACATTTTCTGAAAGCTCTTTTCAAGGGCTGCACAATGGCAATATTAATATTTAGAAATACGGTAAAGACAAGGGAGTTACAGACGCGCGAAAGTGACGATCTTTTTTCAAATATCATATTTCATTGTCCAGTAGTGTAGCTCGATAGGAAATGACGTCTGAATGACGGAAATGACGAAATGCTATGCTTCTTGTTTCTTCATTTGGCAAATCCCCATAGACGCTCGATCGTCTACGTGTGAATGGCAGGGCATCCGATTCAGAAAGTTGTACTTGTGGTTGACTTGAGTGATTGACTCCAATTTTTTGGCGGAATGTATAACGCTTGTATAACGGAAATGATTGGGGTTTCATTTTTGCGGATATATAGCGGAAAAAAACCGAAGAAAGTTATGGCGAGTTTAGTGATTTTGGCAATTGCCCAGTAGTGTATATTTAAAAACTAACCAAAGTCACACTCGACTTGTCCTTTACACCCGCGAACATCTTTTGTGTAGTCCACCATTTTCGAGCGTTCGCCCGGACCATGACGATAGTAAAACTGAAATTATCTCGCGTTTTCGAAACTCTTAAACTATAGAAAATTTCACTTTTATCTATTTTCTGGTTACTTTAAATGGTTACTTTAAATGGTTACTTTAATATATCGATCCCCGCATGGCCTTTTCCACATCTCGATAATGATTGCTGAAGAGAAAAATGGAGATTGAATACCGAGGATTTTCTCTTTCAAATCGACCAACTCGAGCATTGCTGCCAGAATGAAATCTTGCTGAAATTTTGAAGTTGAAGCTTTTGATTTTAAGGAGTTCATTTATCCAATCGAACTTTCAAAATCGAACCGTTGAGTAGCCAGCAAATTTCTTCTGACATAACATTGTACTCGTCTCATTGCAATCTTTGTGGAAGTTGAAATCTCCAAGCATTGCTGAAAATAAAATTGATTTGTTTGTTAGAATTTAAACAAAGATTTAAACAAAGATTTAAATAAAGATTTAAATAAAGATTTTCATAAATTTTCCTAGAAAAAGAAAGATCTTTTCTGGCCAAGCTAATCGTTGAATTTTCGTTTGACCTTGATTTCCTTTGAGAATCTAAGTCAAACTCAAGCCTAAAACCATATTTTAGCTTAACCATTGTTTCATTTGGGTCTTAGTTTTTAGAACAGCTTTGATTAAAATAAATTTAAGTAGTTGTGACTATTTTTGCCAGCTGTGCCAGCCAGTGTGCCAGTCAGGTGTGCTTTAAAACACTGCCTACTTATTCTTTTAACTTTAAAAAGCTTTAGAATGGTCTGTATAGCTTGATGCGTTGGTTTTTGAGAAATCACTGTGCAAACTTTTTCTACGAACTTTCTTGCTAACCTAATAGAATCTAACTTTGGTGAAATTTGGTGATCGAGTTCTGATAAAACGATTTTTGGATTATCAAATTTAGTAAACAGTAATCTAGAATCTAGAATAATCTTTCCCCACAAATTCCAGCAGTTAAACGATAATTTCAACTTAGCGAAATAGTCTGTTTATTTCAAAATCCCTCTCCATATTAGCTGACCTCCCAGCAACTGTCCTCCATGCAATTTGGCCAGCTCGACTTCACTATGTGGGTAGAAGCCAGTTTGATAGGATTGAATCTAAACAAATATTTGTTAGATAAGATTTTCTAATGTAAAAGTATCTGATACTTAGCCAGTTGACGAAAAAGTTCTTGTCTTAACTCTAGTTTAAATCAAGACTTTCAGTCGACTTTCAAGACTTTCAATCGTAGAAATTTCAGTTAATCAACCATGACCGTTATTTGTTTTCCTTTTACTTCAAAACTTTTGCAAAGCTTTCGAAAGTTTTAGACTAACTCACATCTTGATATATTCTCCTCGCCTCCTCGACCACTTCAGGCGGTCGACTCTCCACTTGAGCCAAGTACTAAAATTCTCGAAAAATGAATAGACTACTTAAAACTTAAAACATAAGATAATTTAGATATTCAACTGAAAGTTTAACTACCGTAAATACTGTAATAGTACCCCACCGCCCTCGTACAGTCGCGTAGTCGCAAAAGTTTTTTAGTATTTCATTTTTTTCAAAGCGCCCGTACTTACAAAAATAGCGTCTTTGGTATGAAAAAAATAGCTGAAATTCAGGGCTATTTTTTGATACCTAAGCGAGGATTCTAGCATAAACCAGTCTCGAGAAAAACGCGTCCAAAGCTAGACTACGCAACACTCCGCACCGTCATTATCTTTGGTATCAAAAAATAGCCCTGAATCTCAGCGATTTTTTGATACCCAAGCGAGCATTCTAGCTTAAACCAGTGTCGAGAAAAACTCGTTCAAAGCTAGACTACGCAACACTCCGCACCGTCATTATGGGGGTGAGGTCCAATTACAGTATTTACGGTACGTATCACCCCACCTCGTTCACTATTCCTTCAACCATTTTCGCGTCGTCTCTTGTGTGGAAAAATTTCGATTTCTTGTCCCAACCGAGACAGAAAAACGCTTCAGCGATGAATTCGTTGTACTAAAGTTGTACTAAACTAAATATTACTTTCAAATATTCACTTCTATTAGTTCTATTAGATTTTTACAAAAGAAACCTTTTTGTAAAGAGTATAATTAGCGCAGTGAGCCTTTTGGATTTCGACATTGCGCGCACAAGTGTACCAACTCGGAGCCATCATCTGAAATAAGAAAATAAGAGTCAATGCTTGAATATTCTTTAAATTCTATTAATTTTTTTAATGTTTAACCGAATCTCGTGAGAATTCCTCGGTGAAAACGGGAATCGGAAGGGGAATCGAGCGCTTTATGTCGCTGAACATTCCTTGTCCGACAGCTACGGCTGAAATTGAAGAAATGAGTCTAAGCTAACTTCTAATTGATTCCGTAGATCGGAATTTCATAGCATTAAACTAGACAGACAGACAGACAGACAGAGAGACAGACAGACATAGAGACAGACGGCTCTTTTATATATAGTAGATGACTAGCCAGGACTAGGACTAGACTAGCCAGGACTAGGACTAGACTAGCCAGGACTAGGACTAGACTAGCTAGGTCCATGGCTCACCAGAGAATCTGGCTTTTTGAAAGCCATGTTTTCCGGTGACTCATTGCTCTTGTCTAGTTAGCTGTCTTGTAGCTCCAACCGAGTACTTTAGAGCAAAACATTTACAAAATCTTCATTTCTTTGTCAACTCTTTTCCAAACCCACCAGTCGATAGACATCTCTCGAAAGCCACCGATCTCAGCTTCACCTAAAATTTCCCTCTATTTTTCTAGCTTTTAAATTTTTTTATTAGCCTTTTTTTATCACCAACTTGTTTAACATTGAGTGTTCGATTCAGGAAACCGGTGTTAATGTATCGTATGGCCAATTGTCGTCCAAGCTGATAGCTGTTCTCGATTCCCTCCTAAACAAGGTCAATATTTCAACATTTCCTATAAATTTCCTATAAAATCTCATTTTTATACCTCTGTTAATTGACCAGTTCCATATTTGAAATACGAGATGAGTGAGCCATTCGAGAGGACATCGGGTGCTCGATTCCCGTGTCTCCACGCCTGAATCAAAGATTTTCACTTTGACTTATATGTATGGAAAATTTAGCTATAAATCAAGAACTGGCTTTTGGTCTGTCCTGGCTTACTATCATAAAAAGTCTTGGGTCCACCAGAAGCCAGAAGCTAAAGTTGGGTTTTGTTCGGGATCTGGCCTAGCCATAGGTTGTAGCATCGCTGCCTAGTTGAAAGTATCGCTGCCTAGTTGAAAGCATCGCTGCCTAGTTGAAAGCATCGCTGCCTAGTTGAAAGCATCGCTGCCTAGTTGAAAGCATCGCTGCCTAGTTCAAAGCTTTATGTATTTCTATTCAAATGGGTCAATTTGATTTCCAAAGTTTCTTTGTCATTTTTCGTTTTAAAACTAACCGCATTCACAAACAGCAACGTATCGTCATTCCCTAATTTCGTTGGTCGAATCGGATTCGCAGCCACAAAGATCCAAGTTAAACCAAGAATGAAAAAGGAAAGATTCCGCATCAGTTCGATGGGATCAAAGGCTTTCTGAAAAATATTCGCATTTTGTAACAATTTTTGGCAAAAGATTGAGGAAATAACACTTTTCGGGGGAGAAAATGATTAAGAATCGGTTCAAAAAAAGGAAAATCCGAGCTGAAAATAGCCGTATTTCCACATTGGAAATCGTATTTTTGCAAAGAATATAAAGTTAAAAGAAAAATGAAAAAAATGAAATTGTAAACAGATTGAAATGAAATGATGAAAAAGTTCCAATAAAAAAGATAAATAAATAAAATTCATTTTGAAAGTCTTAAAAGACTTCCTCGTCGAATCGTCGATCCAAAATTTATAGTGTGGAACGAATCTGTGACAAGAGTGACATAAATTATAAAAAAAAAAAAAGAATGGAAAACTCTGGCAAAACTCATATTTCAAAAAGTCGTCAGATTGACATTTTTTCAATGACAAAAGAGTCAAATTTGATGCTTATTAGCTATTAACTATTGCGTTTATAATTAGATTTGTTTATAATTTAGATTTGATTTGATTTGATTTGATTGTATTTTTTGGGGCCTCTCTCGGAAACTTTAAAAGATAAATGCTAATTTGAATCACTCGTATCTTTGCGCAGCCATTAAACAATGGAAATCTAGTTAATAAACAATTTTCGAATGTCTTCTTTTCATCTAATATACCGTATTCTCTCTAATAGTAGTGCACTCTATAATATTAGTATTGCGGTCCGAGAGGGGGTTAAAAAAATAGTAGTGCACCCTCGAAAATTTGAATTTCTAATGCTTCTTTTTCATCTAAACCTTTTCGACTGAATATCTTTATGTTTATGTGACATTCTAAAGCTATTCAAGCAAGCAAAAGTGAGGCTTTTTTTTTATTCATTTATTAGCTATTCTTCACATGAAAAAGTTAGCAAAAATTGCAAGATAATCGAGTGTTTAGGCCGTTTGTTGCTAATTTAAGCGTTTTTTCGCTCAAATGCTTTAGATCTGTGGTTTGCCGAGTTTGGCTTATTGATTTCATATGTATGTAGTTAAGTATCACTGTGCATTTCTCTATGATTTCTTTAATTTATGTTGTGCATAAAGTGCTATTATTTAAATCGTGTTTTTGTTGTTTTATGTGTTTGTGGCTTATTCTAATTATTGCAAAGTGCAAAAACATCTTTTTGTTGTTTGTCAAGACACAAATTGTCAACTCGCCGACCCACAACTGTATGTCAAAAGAAGCCAAAGGAGTACGTGAAAGAATTGCAAGAATTTTTGGAACAATTCTTATATCTGTCTTACTTTGGTAAATGATAAAACTCTTTAATAGTAGTGCACTCTCTAATAGTATTGCGGTCCAGGAGGGGGTTCAAAAAATAGTACTACTATTAGAGAGAATATGGTAAACATTTAATATCTAGTATGTCTATCTATTTAATCAAGCTAATATCTCTAATATTGGGTTGGGGAGAATGAGTCGCCAACTTTAAAGGCTTTCCACTAAAGCCTTCTTTAAACATACGTTTGGTTTCTCAAAAGGATCCACTATTTCTCTACAAAATGACTTTTGAGAGATTCCACAAAGCTTTTCTTTCGTGGAGTTTATGAACTTCCAAATGCAGCTGGTTAAAATGGCAAAGAGTCCGACTCATCATTTGAACAGTTTCTTTCACGTAAACCTCTTTGGTGTTATAAAAAGATAGAGCACATTCAATTACTTAGTTCAATTTGCAGGAAGTCCCCCATGTTTTCTGATCACAGTTTGAGTTTTTGTGAAAATGGCTTTTCTTGAGCGGAGGCCTGTTTGAATTTTCTTTAAATGTCATTTTGTAGAGAATTAGTTAACCATTCTCTCATATCAAACGCATATTATTTGACGGTCGAATAGAAGTTTTAGACATTTTTTTGATTTTCGGCGCCGACCCATTCTCCCCAACCCAATATAATCAACAAATAAACAATTTCCCAGTGCTAGAACAGTTTTCTGTTTATCTAAATATTAGGTTGATGCATAAGTCTTTTCGTTTTTTTCGTACTTCCGTTAAAAAGTAACAAATTCACGAATTAATCTATAGTTTGCTCTATAAAAAAAGTGTTTTTTTGTTCAATTTGCATCTTTTTAAATGAATTTCGGTTGACTTTCAAGCAAATTCGAGAGTGAAAAACGCCTTTTTCGTAAAAATCTATAAAAAACTCTACGGAAAAATTGGCTGAATGAATTTCTCTGAAATTTTGGCGAAATATCAAACGTTTTTTTCTCTATCTTTTATCTATTGACACGAAGATAGGTTTTCTTTAGCTAAGGTGTCTAAACCGCATCATCGAGTTAGCCCTTTTTGACTACCCGACTTCATACTCTCAAGAAAATCCAGGCATTAAATATTCCCCTTTTTTTTTTTTTTTTTGTGAATATTTTTTTTTTTTTTTTTGGATCCCCCACCTTTTTTTTTTTGGTTCTTTTGTTGGCTTGAAACGGCAGACGAAAAGGAACGAAAAGACTTATGCATCAACCTATTATATAGCATATATAGGTATACTATATATGTAACAAGCATGTAAACAATCTCAAAAGGCTCACAAAGCTCACAAAGCTCACAAAGCTCACAAAGCTCACAAAGCTCACAAAGCTCACAAAGCTCCCAAAGCTCACAAAGCTCACAAAGCTCACAAAGCTCACAAAGCTCACAAAGCTCCCAAAGCTCACAAAGCTCACAAAGCTCACAAAGCTCACAAAGCTCACAAAGCTCACAAAAGTCCCAAAGTCTACAGTCTACAGTCTACAAAAGATTAATACGAAAGTATCCCTAAATCAATATAAAGTTTAAATGAAATTAATTAAGAAAAATAAAACTAATCTAGTTTATAAAAGAAGAAAATGAGTTTTTACCAAAAAAAGCTCTTGATTTTTAAATAAAACTTGATCAAAAGAGTTTAGAAAGTAGAATTTACAAGAAATCAATTCAATTTATTAGATTAAACTTTCAAATAAGAAAAAATTTATAAAAAGATCTATTTTATCAATGTGTTCAGATTGATAAGATTGATAAGATTGATCTCAGTGTGAAATTTGGCAATAGAACAATAGGAATTGAATGTGATTCGATTCGCCTCTCTCAAAACATTCACATGAACAAAAAAAAACCGGCCTCTCCTTTTTCCGGGATCTCTTTTCCGAGAGAAAAGAAGAAATCACGCCTGTCATGGATAAAACTTTGCGCGAGGTGATCGTTTTGGAAAAAACGAGTTATTGGATCATCGGATTTGTTCCTGAGAAAAGGGGAAAAAGGGAAATGATCTCAAATGATCCGGGTAAAAATAGGAAATGAAGTAGTTGAGTCTGAGATATCATCAGTATCAGTCACAACCTCAGCGATCAACTGGATTCAGTCGATCAAGGTCATATATGCCTTTTGTGACTAAAATGAATAGCTGAAATCGATTGCCCGACCCCGAAAACCCCAGGTTACAAATTCACAGCTGAATATCTACAAAGCAAAAGCAAAAACCCCTTGTACTGGTGTTCTTTGTGTGGCGGCGTAATCGCTCGCTTTCTGGCTCAGGTTCCCGATAGATAGGTGTTCCCAGAAAGAGCCAAAAAGGGACGGGGAATGGCAAATTACTGACCGGGAAAACTTTTTTCCACTTTGAAGGTTCCACCAAGGCAAGCTTTGCATTAATAATTTGAAACTCAAAAACAGAATCGAAATGCAGAAAACACGAGTTTTCATTTTCGCTCAACAATTCCCACAATTTTTTGTCATTTTCTCAGCTTTTATGGGTTCGATTCATGAAAGGAAAAGTCATGAATCAATTTTCGAGACTTTTTGTGAGAGATTTCTTAGCAATCATCGCTGGCTATTGAACGAAATTTTGGACAAATTGTGAGTTGAAAGGGAAATGGAAATGCTCTGTTCACCAAGTAAATTTACGGTAATAATCGACAAAACCGGTGCTTTTGTTGGTGTTCTTAAGATTCATTTTTGTTGTGGTGTTGTTAATCATCGGATTTCAATTATTTTTTTTGCTTGTAACCCGGAGAAAGAGAGTTTTGTTGGCTTGAAAATGACGTTAAAATGTGGCTGAATAGCTCAAAACAACGATTCGAAAGATGGCAAAAATAAAAGTTGAATTCATTTATTGAATTTACAAGAATTTATAGCTAGCCATGTGTAAACCGATGAGTGGAACCCTCAAACAGCCGGGAGTCCATGAAGCCTGGAAGATAAATATAAATATTTTAGATCCGTATTAGATCAAAAAAAGAACCGTATGGGAACCGTATTGGAACCGTATTAGATCAAAAAAAGAACCGTATTGGAACCGTATTGGAACCGTATTGGAACCGTATTGGAACCGTATTAGATCAAAAAAAGAACCGTATGGGAACCGTATTGGGACCGTATTGGAACCGTATTGGAACCGTATTGGAGCCGTATTGGAACCGTATTGGACCAAAAAGGAACCGTATTGGAACCGTATTAGATCAAAAAAAGAACCGTATTGGAACCGTATTGGAACCGTATTGCCTTTCAGTATCAGTAGCCTTTCATTTCCGCCACAAAAAAAATTGATAAATAATTAATAAACGATCAAATGCCATTATATAATAATTGGAACCGTTTTCAATGGAATCCATTCATTTTTAATATAAATGTTTTTTAAAAATCATGCTCAAATAAAGTTTTTCGATCATAAAACTTTTAGTTCAAAGGATATCGAAAAGCTAAATCGTTCATTTTAAAAACATTTGAAAATGCTATAGTATAGTGGTGGAAAATAGTTTTGGGCCCCCGATTGTAAGTAAAAAGAGTCTGGAGAACAGCCAATACTTTTTTTCCACCACTGTATAATTCTAGGGCCAAGCAAGGACAAATACCAGTATCTTAGGCTGGAAAAGTGGTCTAGAACCAGCTCTGCCCCTATCTTTCACTCACCAATCGTTTCCATCCGAGAAACTCCAACGCTGTTTTCATTTGTCTCATATCGCCGGGCATTTTACCTGGAAAGTCAGCATTGTTCTTATGGCATTGGCATTGGCATTGTTCTTATGGCATTGGCATTGTTCTTATGGCATTGGCATTGTTCTTATGGCATTGGCATTGTTCTTATGGCATTGGCATTTCTTATGGCAATGTCCTTATGGCATTCTTCGGCATTCTTATGGTTCTTATGGCATCATAAACAGTTTTTTTCCTTCCATACCATCAATATCCTTAAATTTATACTCTTTGGCAATATCGTAGGTGAGCAGAATTTTTCCCGTTTTCTTCATCAACTAGAATTTGAACAATGAAAAAGAGAAAGATTTCTTGAAAACCTTTGAATCACTGGCCAAAGCTACAATTGCTTTTCCGGAGAATTCGACTGATTCAGCTCCTTCCACTTGTTTATCAGCAAGTTCCTGAAAGCAGCATTTGAGTGAAATCGATGATAGATTTAACCTTATCAATCTTGAGCACTTGTCCGATTTCATCATTTTTCTGCATAATTTGAGCCATTTCTGTTCTAAAGGTGGATATTTAAAAAAAGGTATTCAAAAAAGATATTCAAAAAAGGTTTAATAGTAAGTTATTGTTATATACAGTAACAGTAAATTGTTAGTAACAAGAAACTTTGGTTTTTTCTGCATAATTTGAGCCATTTCAATTCTCTTTACTCACTTGACAGTTCCGGGCCAAAGAGTGACACAAGCAATGTTGTGTGGCTTCAACTCCACAGCCATATCGGCTGACATTCGGTCAACCTGGAATTTGACATTGCTGGTGGTTCACATTGCTTGAAAACATTGTTCTTATGGCTTTTGAGAAGAAGTGGAGATAGTTTGCAAGTTATAAAACCCACAGCGCACTTTCCGACCCCATAAGCCACATTGAAAACGTATTGAAGCCCGCCCGCTGATGAGATGTTCACGATGAGGCCAGATCTGATTTGTTTGATAAGTTTTGAAGGTCTATGTTCGGCCAACACTCACTTCCTCTTCACCATCATTTTCGCCGCGTACACACCGCAAATGTAGTTGTTCCGAAGGCCGACATTGTTTACCGAATCCCAGAAATTTGGCTCTAAATCGAAAAAGGCGGCACCACCAGCCGAGCGGAAATCCTGTAAATGTAAAAGATTGAAAAAAAAGTAGCTGACAAATAACTCACTTTAATAGCCGAATACGCGTTGTTGACTAGAATGTCCAAGCGACCATTTGTTTCCGTTTCGATTTGTTCAAAGAGTCTAAAAACGGCATAGCTCAGTTGAGTGCATAGCTCAGTTGAGTGCATAGCTCAGTTGAGTGCATAGCTCAGTTGAGTGCATAGCTCAGTTGAGTGCATAGCTCAGTTGAGTGCATAGCTCAGTTGAGTGCATAGCTCAGTTGAGTGCATAGCTCAGTTGAGTGCATAGCTGAGAGCCATTTCCAACCTCTTCACATCTTCATCTTTTCCATGATCACAATAAACGATCACCGCTTTCCCATCGCGGTCTTGGATATCTAGATTTTGAGGTGAAGATTAAGATTATGATTTTATAAATTATCTTAAAAAGTTACCCTTTGCCGTTTGATCAAGAGCTGGCAGACTTGTCTCATAAATGTTATCACTTTTCGACGGTTCTCTGCCAGTGATGTAAACGGTGGCTCCAGCCTGGCCCAGTTGAAGAGCAATGCCTAAAATGCTTCAACCAGTTCAACCACTTGAATTTGATGATGAAATTTTGCATTAAATGCTATTTGCCTTTAATTTCCCCACTCACGAACCCCTTCCAATCCCTCGACTCGCTCCAGTCACCAGAGCTATCTGACCCTCCAATGGACGCACCATTCTCGATCCTTTAATGTAAAAATTCTTTGCAAATACATTTTATAGAAAAGAGTTATTTAGCAAAAAAGTTATTTAAAAACAAGCATAAACAACTTGTTACACAAGCTAAAGATTGTTTACAAGATTGTTAGCAAATGGAAATCAAGATCGCATTCAATGATATTGTCCTTGGTATTGAATAGGACAAGGTATTGAATAGGACAAGGTATTGAATAGGACAAGGTATTGGATAGGACAAGCTATTGGATAGGACAAGGTATTGGATAGGACAAGGTATTGGAGTATTGGAGTGTTAATATTAATATTAATATAAGTATTAATACAAGATATTCAATAGCCATTCAGGGATTAAGTTTTATTAGAATTTATGTGAGAAAATGAAACTCAATGCAAAATAGAATTGTAAGAAATATATGTTTATGTTTTGATCTATATAATTTTTTCTTGTGAGACCGTGTCTCGGTGTGGCTCAATAGTGGTCTTCTTGAAAACGCACAATTTATCCAACTTTCCCTTATTAGGGCAAACTTCGCTCTAAACTGGAGCAACCTGGCACTATCACAATTAATTCAACACTTGCATGTGAAAAAAAGGGATGATAAAAAGCAAAAAAGGAGAACAAAAACTCACTCAAAAGCAAAGCTTAAATAACGGGTTTTTTTAAGTATACAAGCTACAACAAACGGACAGCTGAATATCGTCTAGTGACTGATTACGGTAGTTTATCCATCAACTTTGAATTTTAACTTGTGTATTGAATTTTGATTAATTGCAGAGCACTGGCAATTCGCCACAAGAATAGGAAAAGAGTAAATTGAAAAAAAGTAAAAATCGTTGTCACTTTAAGATTGTTCAATGCAGATCCTCCTAACTTTGTTTGACAAAATAAGCAAAGAAAAAAGCAGTAAGTTTTGAAAAAATAACAACTTTTATAGTCTTTAATCAAAATTCTAGAGCTTTCAAGAAAAAGCAAGAAGCATTCATGCGACCTCAGCAATCATTCTTTTTCCAGCAAAAAGACCGAAAGGCAATGATAATTCTTGTAGTTTTATAGTCTGCCTAAGCTAGAAAATTTTTGCAAATCGACAACAAAGATCAGTCGCGTTTCGACATTCCGTTTTGCTCCAACTAGAAATGTCAATGCGTCGAATCTTGTCAACACGATTTAAAATCAAAACTTGAACTCTGTAATAAAGTAGGGTTTTTCTAAGCAGTCAACAAAAAATCTCAAATATTATTTGTTTCAACAGGACCCTAGAGCTTATAAACCAGCCAAAAAAAGGCCAGAGTTGGCTAACAAGGGAGATCACAAGGATGAGGTGGTCAAATAAAAATAAAAATAATGATTTGATCTGTCTTCGCACTTAGCGCAGATCACAACCCGCTTCCACATTTACTGAGGCAGAAGTGTAGTTGTCGTAGCCGATGATACTCCGATGGCCGGGCTGGGGCGCTCGGAGGGGAACCCATGGGAGTCGAACCCACGACTAACCCGCGCCGACGTTGCTCAACTTGGCAGATCGGACGGGGTCGACCACAGACCCTTCCCTTTCTGGGCCCCGGTGGTCAAATAACATTAGCCATATACCATAAAATGCAGAATTTTATGCTTTCGACATTCCGTTTTGCTCCCACTCTAGTAGATAAGAGTCTTGTTTCCGAAGCAAGGCGTCAAGTTTTTGCTCGAGTTCGATCCCATCCTCTTGTTTTCCACTTGATGTTTAGCCGCTCGAATTCGCTCGATTTTAACTTTACGATAAGTAGTGACATCTTTTAATTGATAACAAACAAAATAACAAAAAAACGTGGCAACCTATAAAGTGAATGAAACATGAATTTCACATTACTTCTTGCACAACACATAAAAACATACATTCCACAATTCATCTTCACAAAGTCTGGCGTTGAAAGTCGAAAAATTTTCGTGAAAATCCACCTTCGTAAGGTTCTTGGCCTAGCTCTGAAAGGCTTAGAAAGATCAGGGTTTTTTCTAAGCCGTTCATAAGGGTTTAGAAAGATCAGGGATTTTTCTAAGCCGTTCATAAGGGCTTAGAAAAAAAGCCCTGATCTTTAGTTGTTTGTATTATCTATATGTTGCTACAAATGCCAGGAAATTGCTATCAATGCCATCATTTTTTTCTTTATTTTACCGAAAATATAGTAAAAACAACATTTTCTAAACCCCATTCTCATTCGAATTTCTCTCAAAGAAAAACACAAAAATTTGTCTTTTATAGTTTGACATCTCGTAGCCTTATCAAGTGAACGGGATTTCCACAAAAAGGAAACCCAAAACTTCGATCATTTCCTAGAGTTTTGCTAGAGATTTTCATCAATCTATATCCAAAAAGATGTACAACTTTACGTGCTTGAAAGTAGAAAAATTGCCGAATTGCGAATTCGTCTTTCACGTGCAATTAAACCGACCCACGAAACTCAACGCGATGAACATGGTCTTCTGGGAGTATGTTTAAACTTTAAAAACTGAAAAAGCAACTTTTAAAATATTCAGTGAGATCGGGAAATGTTTCGAGCAATTGAGCAAAGATCCGGATTGTCGAACGATCGTGCTCAGCGGTGCGGGGAAAGCGTTTTCGGTGGGACTCGACTTGAAAGGTGCACATTCATTTTGATCCAAAAATTCCGAAAACTTCAAAACATTAAAGAATTACTGGAGTTTTAAAAGGAAAAATTTGCGAGTATTCAGAAAACGATGTTGTCAACGGTTTAAATGACGCCGGAGCAGATGATTTCGCGAGAAAAGCCTTCTTGTTGGGGCGAAAGATTCGCCAAATGCAACAATGTTTCACAAACATCAACGAGGTTTGCACAAAATACACAAAATGTTCCCAAGTCTTCCCACAAAATGAATAACTACAGTAGTCAGCCTTCAATCCGTCAAAAACTTCTAAATTTTAGTGTCCTAAGCCGGTGATCGTTGTCATGCATGGGTATTGTCTCGGTGGTGGGGTTGATTTGATCACCGCTTGCGATATCCGAATCGCCACCAAGGAGACGCAATTCAGGTGAATCTATTCGACTATATTACCGCAATCGTTACATTAAAGAATTACTGGAGCTTTAAAAGGAAAAATTTGCGAGTATTCAGAAAACGATGTTGTCAACGGTTTAAATGACCTTGATAACCTAAAGTTGGGCACGTTTTCCCCGTTTGTGTGGATTCCTGGGCACGGGTTTAGGGGTAAACCCACAAACACCGTTCCACCGCCGCAGAGAGCTCTTTATTCACGGGCGCACAGTCCTATTCACGTATCATTTCACAGTCCGTAGCCGTTTACGTGTTAATTGCATATGGTTTCTTTGAAATCATTAGTAAAACCTTAATTGGGGACGAGTAAACGAAGAAAAAGTTAACAGAACACTAAAATTAGATAGAAAAGGTTCTGGAAAGTCGCGACTCTCGTCAAAAATGAAAAGGAAACAAAATTAAATAAACTAGCAAAGGGTACGGTAGCCAGAGCGTGTTATAGAATCATACCATCAGTCCCATTACAAGAGAAACGCTTTAGAAAACTCTAGAAAGTGACTGCCAAGTGAATGATTACAGTAGTTAACCATCAACCTTCAATATCCACCAATTCAGTATTAAAGAAGTCGATGTTGGAATTGTTGCCGATGTGGGCACTCTCAACCGAATCAACAAAGTTTGCGGCAATGATGTAAACAATGAAAACAGAAATTATTATTGAAATTTTCTTAGAGTTGGATTCGTGAGGTCGCGTTGACTGGGCGAAACTTTGGGGCCGAAGAGGCTTACCATAATCGTAAGACAAAAGATATTTGACGGTTATCAAAGTTTTTAGATCTAATCAGCCGTGTTTGCTCTACAAAAGAAGAAGCTCTTAACGAGGTAAATGAAAGTGATTCAATGCAAAAGAAAAACCCAAACTCGCAGGCGTTAAAAATGGCCGAATCGATCGCATTGAAGAGTCCGATCGCCGTTCAAGGAACGAAAATAAACCTCAACTACAGTCGAGATCATTCAATTCAGGACTCGCTGAATTTTGTTGTAGGTTTATCAAAAATAGATTGTGTTCTTTCTTAGGAAATCTAACATACCTTTTAAAAGTCGCGCTTAGGAAATCTAACATACCGTTACCCTGCTTGCCAATGGCTTTAAAATGGTAAGTTCTGAAGCACACATTTTTCAATAAAAAGTCATTCTTATTACGCTTTACATAAAAATCTACCAGGTAGTTTTAAATAAAGTTAACCTTTCAGGCAACCTGGAATCAGTCTCAACTCTTCAGCGAAGACGTTCCAAAAAGTGCAATGGCCACTCTAATGAAATCACCATTCCCCGAATTTTCTAAGTTGTGATTTATAAAGAAATAAATTGAAAACAGAATTTATTAACAAGATTCCTAAAATGCTTATTTTCAACTCGAGTGCGGAAAGGATGTAAAAAGAAATTTTTTACGTCCAGATCCCTGATTTATCATTTTGTTTCTGAAAACAACAAATAATTTGAGGAAACCTAGTTGTAATGACCGTAATCGAGTTTGAGAATCACAGATTTCCATTGAGGAACGACAAAAACATATAACAACAATTTTGTGGCCTGATATATGCAGAAAAGAAAAGAGAATTGAATTTTGTGAGACAATATAAGGCTCAAACAAAAGAAGGCAAAGTTTTCAAAAGATAAATGTACACGAAACAGGAAAAACTTAAGAATCTATATTTTTAAAGAAGATCGGCCTATTCTACAGACTCCTTTTGGTGAATAGTTGAAATGGACATTTGATTCACTGAAGCACCAAACCATTGTTTTTATCTGGACCATCAACGGTTGTGGCCTAGATTAGCCATTTTGTCTAACTTCAAGCAAAATAACGTACTTGAAATGGTCTTTTATCGTACAACATGTGGAACATTATATCTGAATACAAAATGGATTAGTTGACTGAAAACTGAATGAAACAAACCGGAAAGCGAAACACAAGCCGTTGGTTCCTAAAGACAAAATAATGAAGTTCTGCGTAAAATTTCAGCAAACCTGTCTTTGATTAACAATGAAAAGGCAACGATTTCCCTTTTGAGAGAGCAAAGCGTCCAAACACTAAAAAAATAAGAGATAAATCGAAAATTTAAAACAAACTTGAGCAACAGGAGTATACTCAAAAGCAAAGAATGGCGGTTCTCGTGTGGGAATTGCATCACCAACCCTGCACGTGGTAAGGAAGGTCTAAACAATTTTGATAACTTAAAAATATCCTTTAACAACTACCTTTGGATCATCTACTTGGCAAATCGCTTGCGCAATATCGAACTTGTGCAGAACCTCGATAGCCATACCTAAATTATTGAACGAGATGAACCGTGCGAAAAAAAAATTACCTTCTTTGTTCACTATTGGTAAGGAAGAAATGCGATATCCTAGCATAAGCTGAACCGCTTTTGAGAGCGGATCGTCTACGGAGACCTGAAATACTTAATACTCATATGCTTTTTAGCCGTAAAATACTAACCTTAAAAACTTCTCCACTCCAAAGGCCGATTCCAGTGTCCTTGATTTGATAATTCAGCCATTGAGCAAAATGTAGTGATCGATTCTAAACATTACCAGATTACTATCGATCCTGATTCATGTCTTTATTAACATCATAAACCCTTTACAAGATTTAATGTTAGTATTTTTCAGCTTTACCTGTTTATGAATCGCTTGAAGTACTCGCTTAATTGTCAACAAGTAGTGAACATCTCCATAGCTTGGATCGAGTATCACTAGACGATGAATTCGATTCAGTGCAAATTCCTCACAAGCATTGAAAATCTAAGAAATAAGTAGATAATCTAATATTTTAAATCAACTTTTGTATCCGAATTCAGTGCCACTAAAGCGTTTGGTGATAAAATTGTTTCCAATGGTTCATTCATCATTGCTGACACCTCAGCTTTTTGAACGTGAATGAGAAAATCGGTCAAAGTGACAATTGATGAGATCTAAATTTGAAAGCATATATTTTCAAAACAATAACAAAACAAACAGCATTCTTTTCTCCATCCCAAACTATTCCAGCTCCTAGATTGTGCTTGCACAAGACACCAAAAGCTTTAGCAACCTTAATTTTTCTATGAAAAGTTAAAAAGTCAATTTTACGCTAAGTTTCTTGTCCAAAATGATCACATCACTGTTGACGGGAGCTAGCTCATAACAATCAACCACTTTCATGTATTGGCGGTATGGATCGTGTTGAGCATCTAAAAATATTAAGATCACAAAGATTCATTCAAACACTAACCAACAAGTCCAACTACATCAACAGAAAGTGGGCGTGAAGTTTTGCGAAGTATGAGAAAATCCTTAAATAAAATTCAAGTTTAAAACAAAGAGAAGAAAAACAAACCGAGCTGTTGCTTCGAGGTCTTCGAAAAGCAAGATCATCATCATACAAATCGCCATTTTCCGAGTCACCATTGCTATCTTCTCGCAAGTCATACACTGAATCCAGTTTGCAGCCAGCTATCTGAAAAAGACCAGTTTTTAAGTTTAAAAACAAAAATATCTTACAATTATAGTAATTTATTTAAATTTTACGGATTTGCTCAATGTTTTAAAAATAAATACCTGAACTTTACGAAGTGGCTTCTTCATAGTTTGTGTATTGAGGCTCTCGCTTCTTGGTCGATTCACAAGATTGCGAATTCCATTGAGAATAGAAGGAGCCCGAGGGGCGCTGCCTAAAAAACATAATGTAAACGATTTTGAACATTTGCGGAAAAGTTTATAACAAAGAGAAATCTAAACAACCGCCTAACCTGAATAATGCCGCCGACGTGGAGTTGATTCAGCAAGTGGCGACAGTGCCAGGCCATTTGAGCGTCCAGGTGCTAAAAGAATAAGTGAAAATTTTCAGAGATAAAATTATAAAAATTCTTTGTTTTATTGTTAGGAGTACTTATTTATTGCTAGTTAAGTACTTAACTAGCAATAAATGTAGATTCTTAAGTTTTTCCTGTTTCGTGTACATTTATCTTTTGAAAACTTTGCCTTCTTTTGTTTGAGCCTTATATTGTCTCACAAAATTCAATTCTCTTTTCTTTTCTGCATATATCGGCCACAAAATTGTTGTTATATTGCTAGCTCCTTAAGATTGTCTGACATTTCAAAACACCCACATTTATTGCATCCATCCGGCGAGAGGGCACTGCCCTGCTTTGGAGAGAAACGCTGATAGACGTTCATCTCTCCCTACTTGCCAACAAATGATATACCTGAAATTGCAAAACGAGTTTTAACTTGTCAAAGGAATTAAAGAAAAATGGTAAAGAAATGAAGAAATTAAAAGATTCCGTGAATAATGTTCGCGGAGAAGAATAACTAAACGCTTTCAACGGAATTATTGATGATGTTGTGTGAAGGGTGAAATGTTGATTCGGTCTCAAGAAATCAACATTCCCTAACAACCAAAGGGGTAAAAGGCGGGCAAATTCGGGATAACAACCTAAACAAAAATCATAAGAAATTAGCGGAAAAACAGGCTGTCTAGGAAAATTTGACTATTAAAAATTGTGTTTTTGATGATTTCACAACATAAAACGCATCAAAGCGCCAACTTTTTAAAAAAAAACATACAAAAACACTCGTCTAGCAACATTCTTTTATAACGAAAATTTAAAACTATCATATCTGATCATACAGTGCCGTAGTAACGCATAGTGCCTGGGAATATAAAAGTCAAACTTTTCACAAATACAAAACTCAAATCAAAATGAAAAACGGCTTCAATTTTCAGAACTTGTAAAAATTGGAAAACCCTCAATAACAACCTTAAAAGTTGAGAAGTAATAATGCTTTGCGAAAAAATGAAAAAGACAAGTTGTCTGTTTGGATCGGAGGAGAGAAAGAAAGGAAAGAATTCCACAAAAGATAACAAATCGTTTCTCCCAACCGAATTCAGGGATGTTTCTCCTTTTCTGAATAACTGATAAAAATTTTGCCGGGGTTCTAGTGACAGGTGTTTTCGAAACTCGCTTTTTGACAGAATTTTTGGTACCAAGGCAGTTGGAGGCAACTAAAATTTTCTCAAACATAATTTTTCTAGGGTAACTGATGGCGCTGATCACAAAAAAAAGGCTTTTAAGTTATGTTTTCAATTAAAAAACGTATTGGAGTCCGTTCCAATGACAGATACGATTTCCTTTGGCGCTAGGAAAAAATGGATGAGTTTCTTTGGCGTCAGGAATGCAAAAAGACTTTGCCTTTTATCACTTCTGGGACCAAATGCATCAGTTGGATTCTTGCGAGTAATTCTCTCCTCACAATATAAAACCCCAACTTAACGGCTCTCACAATATAAAGCCCCAACTTAAGGCTCCACAAACTACCCAATATAACGGCAATACATCAGTTTTTCAATTGAAAACATCACTTAAAAATGTTTTTTTTTGATTAGCGCCATCAATTACCCTAGAAAAACTACATTTGAGAAAAATTTAGGTGCATTAGTACCGAGTTTTTTACAAAAACAATTGAAATTTTGGAATTTTAACGGGTTTATTTATATCCTTCGTGAATCCTCACAGAACCAAACCAATCGTAGATCGATTAGACTACCGTAAATACTGTAATAGTACCCCACCCCCTCGTATAGTCGCGTAGTCGCAAAAGTTTTTTAGTATTTCATTTTTTTCAAAGCGCCCGTACTTTCAAAAAATGCGTCTTTGGTATCAAAAAATAGCTGAAATTCAGGGCTATTTTTTGATACCTAAGCGCGCATTGTAGCATAAACCAGTGTCGAGAAAAACTCGTTCAAAGCTAGACTACGCAACACTTCGCACCGTCCTTATGGGGATAGGGTACTATTACAGTATTTACGGTAGCTCTTTGACTACTAGTTTTCTAAAATGGGTTCCTTTTAGAAAACGAGTCAGTCAAGTACTGAAACATTTAGCAACTCTCACAATAGATCAAAAACTCAAAACAAAAGCTGCGTCTGTTTAGATTGTGTGCATTTTTTTTTTCAATCTCGTCCATCGTTTAAATGCCCTCTCAATGAAATGCGGATGTTTTTGGTTCGGAGACCGACCCCAACAGGAAAAAAAGAGAAAAGATGGGCATTTCATTTGAGAATGGAAATCGAGCTGTGATAGAAGAAAGGGAGAAAAATGGGACGAGAAGAATTGGAGGAGAAGTCAAAGAATTTCGGGGGAACACGTGAGCTCACTCACCAACCAACGAACCCCTCACAAACAAGAGCTGTTTTCCTCACTCTGGACTCTTCTGAAGTGAAATCGAGAAGGAGAAAGCTTTGAAAAAATGGCATAGTAAACGAGGAAATAAAGGGTGATGAAATTGGGTGAGATTCTCGGATCGAGAGTTACCTCATTCGGTTACACATTTACAAATGGTAGGTTTTCTTAAATAGTAATTAAAATAGTAATTTAAAATAGTAATTTAAAATCTAAATGATAACCTAAGCCAATCACAAAAGCGAAACGTAGGCCTCGCGACAGGGATTTTATGAACAAATGGACGGGGAATGGGCTCGACGCTTACACACACGGTTCTCTTCTCTTTCATTCTTTCAACTCTTAAAGAGATCACTCTATCTTTTCTTAAGACTTATCTACGAGAGAAAAGAGAAAGACCAAGAGTCTGGCCACTTCCCACTCTTCTTCCCTTTTCCCCTTTTAACCGCAAAATTTCGACAAGTGCGCTCGATCTTTGCTGTCTCTGTTTGGCCGGAAGGGACTCTCGCTCGTAAATAGAATTCTCACTAATAGTAAAATTGAAATGAAAAATGAAAAGTGAAAAGTGAAAAGTTAATTTGCGTTCACGTGTTTAGGACAAAATAAGTCATGGGTATGCTTTTCGCGTTCAATTTGAGTTATACAATTATAGACCATAAATACTGTAATAGTACCCCACTCCCATAATGACGGTGCGGAGTGTTGCGTGGTCTAGCTTAGTTTGAGAACATAGTTTGAGTTATACAATTGAGTTAACAATTTGAGTTATAGCTCGATTTCCAATAGTGAGAAAATAGTTCCAATAGTTACAATTAGACAAAGGCTAATGGCCAGCGCATTTTAGGATAGATATTGCTATAGGATATGCTTTAGAATCGACATTGTTATAATATTGATCTCATATAAGCTCTACAATTAGCATTTACTATGAAAATTGTTAGCCTAGCGCTGGTTTACACTTCAAATAATGCATATAAGTAGTACAAATATTAGCGACAGTACCCAGTACTGATAAAATACCGTAAAACCATCAAATTGTTATATAAAAACGAAAGATATCCAAAAGTTACACGTAGATTTCAGATCCTAAATTTCAGATCCTAGATTTCATATCCAGTAGTGCAGCATTATCGACTACTAAAGTTTATGTAAACAGGTATCTACCTAGCCAAGTTCATAGCCAGTTTCCCCTTTCTTTCTAGCAAAAACACTCCCATAATACTCCCATAGATAACCTAAATACTCAAATAAACAGAAAAAAAAAAGCAATTATTATTTTCGATCAAACACAGAGAAAAAGACGGCTCCACGTGAGCGAAAAGTGGCGGAGTCTTTTTGTCGTCTCAAAAATGAAGAAATACACGTTTCATGCATAGAAAAAAAATGTTTGTTCAAGAAAATGTTCAAAAAAAATGTTCAAAAAAATGTACAAACCTTCATTTCCTCTGATAAATCACTTTGGAATGTCAATTAAATGGCAGAAATAATTTTAGTACGAATATAAATGGGCACAAAATGATTTAGCGAGAAATTAATGGATAAATAAACAATAAATAAATTTCAAATTCAAATTAAATAAACAAACAAATTAATGGATTAGTGTATAGTTTCAAGGTTACTGTACCCTAAAGTACTAAAGGTTACTGTATTTGAAAGCATTGAAGGGGGGTGGGACAAATGCGACCTTTTTTTGCGCACCTGGACATTTGCGCACCTTTTTTTTTGCTGGAAAAGGCCTTAGGAAAGGTCGTAAAGCTTCAAAAATCTGTTCCTAGAAGGGAATCGTATACGTAGATTCCGAATTTCGACAAATCAGACCTCGCTGACACGTCAAATTTGGGCTAAAATGCAAAAACTGCGGAAAAGCGTTAAGTTGCGTAGTTTTTGCCTTTTAGCCCAAATTTGACGCGTCAGCGAGGTCTGATTTGTCAAAATTCTGAATCTACGCATACGATTCCCTTGTATGAACAGATTTTTGAAGCTCTACGACCTTTCCTAAGGCCTTTTCCAGCAACAAAAAAGGTGCGCAAATGTCCAGGTGCGCAAAAAAAGGTCGCATTTGTCCCACCCCCCATGAAGTGATAAATCTGAATAAAAAAAACTTTGCAAAATTGATGGGAAAATTTCGGAAAAATGCGTCTATAAAATTGGGGAGAACGAGCGATTCAATTGGCTCAATCTCTATGGAATGCAAAAGATGGCTATCGTTGGAGAAATTTCTGAAAGGATCAGAGATTTTTTTAGATGCAAAACGTACGTTAAAACACTTACTAAAACAATTACTAAAACATTTGATACAATATTTTTATTGCTTAATCCGTGAATATATCATAAAACGAGTTTGACAAGACAAGAAACAAATTCGACAGTTTAAACTGCGATAATTTTCATTCCTCTCATTTAAATACTGTATAAATTGTCGCTAGAAAGAGTGACATCATACAAAAAACGATTGTTTCAACGATTAACCGGATAAATGATGTTCTTTTTCTTTTGTGGGTTGGAGGGAGCTAGAGGAAAATAGAAAAAAAATAGAGAAAAAAGAGCTTGTTTCGAGGGGGGAATGATTGCGAGGGACAGCCTTCTAAATAGGACGCGCACGGGCGCTGATGCAAAACGAAAACAACAATTATTATTGACCCGACAAAATGTCATCCCAAACAAAATCGAGCAAAGAATTTTTTTTTGTTGAACAGATGAAAAGCTTCTCTTCTCGTGCGAGAAGCAAACATTCGCATCTGAAAAAGAAAAAGTGGAAAGAGCAAACAAACAAAAGGAAAAAGTCGAAAGTGATAAACACAATTTCCTCACTTAAAACAATAAGTTTTTCGATGAAATTTCAAATCTTTTCTTCTCTGTCAGAAGTTCATAAAATCTTTTAAATCTAAAATTTATACAAAAAAAAACGTTTGCTCAGCTGGGGCAAGTCTCTTTTAAACCAGAAAAATCCGACTAACGGTGGGGTTTTTTTTGGCTAAATGTCTTGGGCCAATA